CAGTTTAAGTTCCCTAGCTCTCCTAGAAGCAAAATGAATCTCCATGTGTTTATAGTGAAAAGGTTACATAAAAATGATCAGTAATGAACACATCTCTTTTTTCCTTTTTCCTGTCCCACAAGTGAGACTCCAGACTGCTCTTTGCTGCTCTCTATATCTACCTTCACTCCCCCTTCCAGAGTTTCTTGGAATTTTTTTTATAAATATGAAAAGAAAAATATACATTATTTGATCTCTACCAGGCCACTAAGGCATGTGATGAGCTCACAGAAGGGAAGCTGCAATTTTTCTGCATAAGCTGCAGTCAGCATCTCTAGTTACAACAGCTAATGCCTTGTTGTTCCACAGATGTGGCATCATAGTTCTTAGTAGTGTGTGTTAATTCCTCAGTATTTACTTGTGACTTTGCAATACTCCATTATTTACAGTATTTGTATAGGGCCTTAAATGGTACCAAATACATTGGCTCAAAATGTTTGTGATTGCTCTGACTGCAGGGGCATATGCTTAAATGTGTATTCAAGTGGGCACCGTGCACTGACACAGCAGCCCTGCCCAGCCGTGTACCAGACCCAACTGTCCTGATACACCCTTGTTACGGCTGAGTGCTACTGGGTGTACAAGAAGAAAGCAGCTTAGTCCAAGCCAATAAAGACTGCTAGTGTCATCTTCACCAGTGTCTTTCGTCCTGCATTTAAAGTGTACCACTTTATCCAGTGCTTCCAGGCAAGGAAGTTTAAACGTGAAATGACGATGCCCTGCTTGGTTTCAAACTGCCACTCTGCGGTGTAAGGAGGCTCGTCCACCTGAGGGCCATTCACATCATCTTTGTATTTCACTGTGGAACTCTGCCAGCTTCCCAACATGAGAAACCTCATTGCTTCGCAGAGGAGGTGGGAAGATTTGCTCTGAGGAGCAGCCATGGCTGTAACAGACAAGTAAACAAATCCAAGGTGCTGGGCAGCCCTAGGAGGGTCACTGATGGTCGGTCCCTAACTGCTGTGAGGCTAAGGTGTTAAGCAAAGAAGCCTGCCTTGGCTGAAGCATATCTTTCTTCTGTATTTATTGTTGATTTTGCAGTATATGGGGAAAGAATTAGCAACTAATTTTTACATTATTTGGAGACTGGTTTAGGTTAGGCTGGTAGGTGTTATTCTGTGTCTTTGTGCTGTCAGTAAACTTGACTGCTCTTGGTTGGAAACCCTTTCCTGGAACATGCAAGACTTTGGAGCAGCTGTTGGAATAAAATAGGAGCTTCATCTGGGAAGAGCTGTTCTATTAAATTAGCAGCTGTAAATGACGCACCACAGTGAATGGAAGTAAATTTATTTTGTGCTGGCTTTCTTCCCTTTTCCCCTCCCCCTCTTTTTCAGTACCCCAGAAGCCCTTCCGTAGCAAAACTACTTCTGGATCTTAACTTGCTTGGGGAAGATGAGATGAGTTCACATTTTTCTCAGATCAACAATAATGAGGATTATGGCTACAACATCAGAGAGCTACCTCATCAGTTATACCCTCCCGCATACCTCCCATCATTACTTGAGTTCTGTACCATGATTTACAATACAGGCTCCCTTTAAAGGGAAGAAGTGCTGTTGATGAGTGCTCTCCTGCACTAATGAAAAATTAAAATGGATATGATCAAATGAAGTTTGAATTGCCTCAAGTTTTGCCATGAGATACTTTTGTGGAACAGTACCTGTATTTATCACATTTAGATTTGCATGTACAATGTGTTGGTTTTTTTTTTTAACAATTAGCATTTTTAAAATGTTGCTTATGAAGGTAGTAGCAGTGGAGGTTTTATACCATCTGTTCCTGTGATCTTAAAAATATTACATAAAGAACTAAATTGGATCAAAATAGGTGGACTCAAAATAGTGTAGAACAAACCACTGTATTTAAATTACTTGCAATATAAAAAAAATTCACCATTGCAACTTGTCAAGGAAGGACAAAAGGGAGGAAAAAAAGGAATCAAATACATATTTTTGAATGGTTCTTTCCCATCTGTGATCTGTAATAGTTCACTGGCAAGTTATCACACCTTCATAAGTGATCCATGTAACACCCTGTCTTGGTAGAGTTTTCAGTTGCAAGTTTCTTGGAAAGGACAATGATGTATGTTAAAAACAGATAAAGATTCATAGCTCCCCAATTTTTCAGCAATGGAAGTATTCTACTGCTAGGCTGAAAAAACCAAATTTTTGTGAAAAATTTAAATTTATGAAGAAAAATGGGAAAATAATTTAGTTGTATTCCTCCAATGAGTACTTTTAATTATTTTGTGTACCCCTGCATACCCTCCTTTCTAAAGAACTGTTAAAATTTTTTAAAATCCTTTTTAAAAGCACTATTTTCATACTGTTAAAAATTTCAAGGCTGGAATATTCTGCCCCTTGTATTTATGGGGTGTATAAGTTGAAGGGATGGTTATTAAATGTCATCACAAGCCTCTTATTGGAAAAAAAGCTAATGGAATGGTAGCATGGTATGAGTGCCTGAACCTGCTGCCTGTGGTATGCTGTGTGGGAGAATAAATGGCTTTCAGTCATGTAAACTAGTCACAGACATTCAGATCCTTTGAACTCTAGTAAGAAATGCACACTTACTTTAAATAGCAAGTGACTAAGCATATAAATGTCTTGATCAAGTCATCAGAAAAAAAATTAGAAGGGGTTTTCTGTTTACATTTTGTTATTTCTGTCTGAAATCTCTATCTTACACTCTGCGTCTTTGCTTTGTAATGTTCCCTGCTGAGCAGGACAGACTGGAAACACAGTAGGGATCTTTGCCTTTTAAGATGCTCTTTGCTTTGCACAGAGATACGTGCTGCAAGACTCAGTGTATTTGTCCAGTGTTTTGCTCAGTACGAGAGGAACATGACTATTTAAGAAAGGCAGGAAACTATTATTTGGTAATTTTAGTTACATTTCAATTGCAAGTACTGAAAGAGCAGACAGAAGTTTAAATATATGTCTTAAGGTACACGCATACAAATCAGTTCAGCTTTTGTGCTCTTTGTCTTTGGTCAGAAAATTCTGAAACAGTCTTGAAAGAAGGTGTAAAAGGACAATTCTGAGTTAAATTTGCTGTAACTATAAATTCACAGGTCATATCTATCCACACAGTGTTTCTCCAAAATTCTTTCTGTCTTCTCTAAATAGCATATATAACAGCTACTCTGGTAGAATCAGACTAGAGCAGGGCTAGATTTTCTTCTAATGTAAACTTGTGCCCCTTTGTCAAAGTCAGAGGATACATGCTTTGCATGTTAATTTTCTCTGCCAGGTAATGTAACTTTCATCCACTGTTTTTTTCAGCATAACAAAGTCTAAATGTTATGGTGATTTCTGTCCTTTAGCCATATTTTTCTTTAGAAAGTTAATATATTGAGAGTAATAGAGAGCCAGAATTTCCTATCATTTTATACTGATATGATCTGCTGTTGATATACCTAATTAATCAAATTTAGTCTACTGTTTTCTTAAGTATTACCACCTTTTTTTTTTCACTGAGTTGCATAAAATTACTCAGATTAATAAATTATGTTGCTGTAGCTACACTGTGGGTCCAGTCCAAAGGCTATGAAAGTCAAAGACACTCTTTGTTGACTTCAGTGAGATTTGGATAAAGCTCATTGTTTTCATGCTCTTTCCATCATTGCGTACCAGACAACTGAAATAACTGTTCCAAATATCAGTGCCTTTGGATACTTTGCATTTCTGTTCTGAGAAAATATCCAAGCAAATATGAATATAACCAAAGTAAATTCTCTATGAATTCAGAATGACTATTTAACTAGCTTTAATATTTTGATACTCAATACTAAGTTTCACTTGCTATGCCTTTTCTTTGCATACAGGTGGTGGCTTAAGAAGGTTAGACTGACTGCTAGGGTTGGAAAAAAAAGAATAAAATAGTGTGGTTGAAAAAGCCTTTGCTTTATTAGAAAGTTCTGGAGGACCTTTGTGTTCTGTTTTTTCGTGCTCACAGTGTTTGTAAGTTTGCCCATAACCTCAGTGCTGAAATGGAGTCTTAATCTGTTTCCAGTTTTTAGCATTCTGGTATCCCCACTTTTCTTTTCCTCATCCCCTACAGCTCTCATAGTTTATCCATTCTTAAGCTGGCTGTCTAGGTTGCAATTCTCTGCTTGTAAGTGTCATTATAGGTGTGTTTTATGGGTGTTTCTGCTTTGGGAACTGTGACAGTAGCTGAAAGAAGTATTTCTAAACATCAGGTTTGGAACACATCATGTTTTTTACTCACATGGGTTCATAGCGGGACAACCAAAGTATGGAATTATTATATATACATATTTCCAATTAATTACCTATTAAATTTCCCTTGAAAGTTTTAGTAAATTCATTTCAGCCTAGTTATCTCTCTCTGTGAAACTGGAATAGCCAACTGTGCAGCTTACGCTCTCTGCCCTCCTCCTCTTTCTGCTTGTTCCTACCAGCATCATCTGTTAAACAAGTATTCACACCTCATTCTTTCCTCAGGATCAGGGTCCACTGGTGGGTTACAGCTTCTTTGGGTTTCTCAGATCAGGGAAGAGTAACTTTTGCTCCATTAATTCAAAATCAACTAGTTCAGATACCAGAAGCTCTTCAGTGGTGCTAGAGCAGAGCTTCTCCAGACTGCTTTTCCCTTGTTCAGGCCTATTGCAGACATCCAGCTGTTTCACACCGTTATTGTACTCTTCTATGGTGAAAAACAGATGCTTGTTATACTTCTGTGGCCTTCTGTGTTAAAATATTATGCTGCCAACTGCTGAGGTATTTGTCATGTATGCTCGAACTCATAAAAATGTCACAAAATCATTAACATCATCAACTGAAGAAAAAGAAATTGTGAGCATATCTTGCTTGTGCCAACAGAACAGAATGGGTAGTTTAGACATTTACAGGAGCATGTACTTCATGTGACAGTGACAAAAAAGATCAGAACAGTAGTCCATGCAAATCTAAACCTTAATTTGTTTTGTTCTGTTTTAGCTTGTGGCCGTGGGTTCTACAAATCCTCCTCACAAGATCTGCAGTGCTCCCGCTGCCCTACTCACAGCTTCTCTGACAAGGAAGGATCTTCAAGATGCGATTGTGAAGATAGCTATTATAGGGCACCTTCTGATCCACCATATGTCGCATGCACAAGTGAGTCAGTCATGAATTTAATAGTAAAGGACATTGCCTAACCAACCAGGTGCAGCCACTTGTATCTAGTAATTTTGGATGGCTTTTCCTATTTTTGAAAAGTACATTTACAACAGTAAATGAAATTGAAAGACAGAGGGGAAAAAAGGTTGACAGTGAACATAGAATCAGCATAAATACTATTTTCATGTTTGCTTGATATAACATTGGAAAACACTGCATGTTGGGTAAGTGTGTAAGTCATTGTAATAGGTAGTATACAGGCATAGTTTTCCAATGACTGTAAAATTGTTGTAGATAATGTGCTTTATGTGATATAATACCAAAATGAGTATTATGAAAAATGAATAGTAACCTGTGCAGATCTGAGCTTCGATTGAACTGTAATTGGATCTGGCTTAACCCTCTAACTTCAAATAGACTAGCCTGCGCAGATTGGTGGTTCAAATAGTGGAAGTCTCCTAAATCCAAAGCAACACCAAATACCTCTGTAAATCATATCAGAGCTGATAACAAAGAACTGGATGCAGTTTGTACAGTACATTTGGAAGACACGAACAAATCCCATACTTGGGAAAACTATAAAAGACAACCTTTAAGGTACATTAACCAATCTTTTAATTGCACAGAAGAGAAACAGCTAAAATCAGTTGCAGTAAATATACAGACAATTGTTATTCTGATGCCTTAATGGAAAATAAATAAAGCTCCTGCCAAGTGAGTTCAAGGAAGCTTTTATGCAGCTTGTACTAAAAATAATGGAATGTTTATATGAAGAAAAAGGCTTCTACTATTTTCTGTCTCAATAATTAAAATGCTAGCTACATGTCCCACTGTGGTTCTGGGCAATTACCTTGGACTTTCTGTGTGTTACATAGGACCTCCATCTGCACCACAGAACCTCATTTTTAATATCAACCAGACTACTGTGAGTTTGGAGTGGAGTCCTCCTGCTGACAACGGGGGAAGAAATGATGTGACCTACCGCATTTTGTGCAAGAGGTGCAGCTGGGAGCAGGGCGAATGTGTTCCCTGTGGGAGTAACATTGGATATATGCCCCAGCAAACTGGATTAGTAGATAACTATGTCACTGTCATGGACCTGCTAGCTCATGCTAACTACACGTTTGAAGTTGAAGCTGTGAATGGGGTTTCTGACTTGAGTCGTTCCCAGAGGCTTTTTGCAGCTGTCAGTATTACCACCGGCCAAGCAGGTAAGTTTTCAGCACTTATGAATCTCAACACTGTGAGACTGAGAGAAATTTGGAACATGCAAACTACAGATGTAGTAAATCAGGAGCATGTTTGGTGTGTTCTGGCTCATTAATCTTTTCATCTTGCCAACTAGTTAATTTGAGCTTATAGTATTTCATGATAACCTGTCCTGTTTCTTGGCCTCAGGATTGCTTTCAGAAAGCATTCATGAAAGACTTAAAGAAGACATACAGCTTTATCATTAAATAGATTTTCTTAAGTCTGCAACTTTTTTTCTTTTTCTTCTTATGTCATTGTAGGTCACTCCCTAGTATTTCAAGATTAAAAAAAGTAGATGTGATGGTCCTGTGCAGGTTTCCTTTCTGAATTTTTTAAACCTGTATGGGAGACCTAGGTCACTGGAAGATGATTTCGATAGCTGATGGTGTTTTCAGTGTTAATGTTTTCTCTCAGGATAATGTTTCTAATTTATCTTATATTTCCAGATATTTGATTATGAGATTCAGTGAGAATGTGATGATTGTTCTTTGTTTCTTCTACTTATCATAATCTGACACGTGAAATGTCAGGGAAAATAAAATCAAACTAGCATATCACCTCAGGCAAAAAAAAAGGCTTTAGTTTTCTGCATGCTAAATGAAAAAAAAAAAAAAAAGAGTTATCTGTTTTAGGTTTCTGAAATCATGAGTTACTTGTTGAGAAAAATTATAGGACTCTGAATCCACAGTAGTGCAATGTGGGCTTTAAAAGAAGATAGTAAAACTAGCCTTTTATACATTGAAAAAAACATCTTAAACTGAACATTAATTGCAAGATCTGGCTTCTGAAGAAATGCCTTAAAAGAAAATAGCTGATGCTTGCTGTAAGAACAGTTAACCAAAGTGTTAAAGGATACATACACCTTTGAGGAAATTTTAATGACTGTGATCAAGCTATTCTTTTTTAGTGCAGTAGAAATGATCCCCCACAGTAATGCTTTGAACTGAGGACAAACTCACCATACAGGGGCAATGAACAAACAGGAAAAACTGTAGTTATATTGCACTTTAAAGATGGTCATCTCAAAAAAAAAAAAAAAAAAGGACACGAAATTGACTTCAAAACATTCCCTACCTTCCCCCAAACATAGAATGGTTTATACAGTTGTTAAAGCTAGGCTGGAATATTTATGGGATATTTAATTTCCCCATAGTGCTTTCCTGGATACTAAATGCACATTTTATATTATTTTGGAACCATCCCTGTGACTGAAAGGATTGGTCTCTCTGCTCATTCAGGTCTTGGAGTTTATGATGAGATTTTGAGCACAGAGAACTTACTCTGAAACTATTTTTGCACCATAGATTGCATTATTTTGTCACCTTGATTTTTCATCTTTAAAATAATTCTTGAGAATTCTTCAAACATGCACAGGTGGACAGTATTCTGCTCTCTGTAGATATCTGTACAGAACCACTTAATGAGGAAGAGGATTTGGACTTTTTCCTGTTTAGCTAAATCAAATTGGCTTTATTTGCTTTGATGGTTCAGTGGCACACAGGGTAAAGGCAGAGACAGTGCAATTTGGTGGCTACTATCACATCTCAGGAAGATGAAAAAGCCTTAATCAGAAGTTTGTTGTGTTACCCTCAATATAATTCATTATAGTTAATCCTACTGTGCTCTCACAGTCATAGATTTATAGGGTTTTTCAGGCCAGAAGACATAATATGATTATCCTGTGTTATAAGTAACAGAAGCTATATGATTTTATTAAATGGTCCTCACATCAAGACCAGAGATGTTAGTGAAACCATAGCTTGCATATACGTTAGAGACAACATCTAGACTTCACCTAGTGATTTCAGGTAATGGGAAAGCCTTCAACCTCCTAGATAAATTTTGTAAGAACATGTAGCATGAAGCAGGAGACCTGACTCTGTTCCTTCCCTGCTTTCCAGTTTGCTGTGGGATTATGCACAAGTGAGCCTTTCCTGGTGCTACAGAATCTGACACGGTCACCGTTGAGAGAAAGGGTACTTCTATGACTGAAGCTTTGTCTGTTTAACACATCTGAATATCAGGATTTAAAGGCTTCCAGTTGGGTATCTAAAAGGAATATACTTAGGAAACAGATTCTGGGGAAAAAAAAATAAACCAAACAAAAACCTTTAAGCTCTCTGTTCAGTTTTCTCTGTCTGTAAAATGAAGATAACCCTTACCTTTCCTTACCAAGTTCTTCAAGATTTTCTGATTAAAAGTGCCATACAAATGCAGCAGTTTATTTTCACCCAAATTACAAAATTCATGTTAAAGAAAATACAGTCTTTCAGAACAAATGCATTCACCAAAAGGAAAGACCTCTTTTACATTATTTTTACAACAGCATGTTTTGGATCTTAATACTGATTTCTTTGGTTTCTCAAGGAGGAAAGTATTTTAGGTGGAACAGATTGATGACTATAATTGAACAGAAAGAGACTGGTTGCTCAAAGGAGACTGTTATGCTTCTGTGCTCCTATTTTATTTTACCATGGAGAGAAAGAAAATGTTGGATTTATTTATAGCCAAGTAAACTAGGATTCATGCAGCTCTCATTTGTTACTGTGTGACTGTTCTATACTTTTGGCAAAAATGACTTTTTCTATGCCCATATTGCTTTTTATGTGTGTAAATGTGTCTAACTAAACCTTCTTCACATGTTATTATGCTAGCACAATAGGTGGCTATATATAATTACTGGGTTCACCAGTTGCACAGAGGCTTGAAGTGAGATTTTTCCTTTGTAGTTTTGGTTTAATTGAATTGATCCTTTGTGGCCATATTCACGAAATTCAAATCATTGTGTAATGATAACGGGAAATTATTGATAAAAGAAGGTGGTTATGGATTATATTCAGTATTTCTTCACCCACATATAACAAGTTTCTGATGAGACAAAGAGAGTGTGTCACAGAAAAGAACCAGGTGGTTGATAAAAAACTATTTATATTTGTGGAAATTACAATACAATGACTGTAAGTGGGTTGGTAGCATTTCACATTGCTCACATATATACATATGACACATCGCTATTCATTCCTTGTCATAAAAAGACTTTGTGACTAGTCTATCAGTTGTCATATGGTATATTTTTTATGCTGCAGCCAAGAATCATGAGGCTTTTTGTTTTGCTTTGTTTTGTTTTTTGACAAAAGCATGAAAGAACTGAGCCGGAATTGGAGGTAAAAGATTAAGTGCACTAAGTCCCCCAGGAGTAAACCATCTTGTTTGATATCTTGCCTATCCAGCATCATATAAAGAATACAGGATGTCATCCCAATATTGCAAGCTGATCTATGTGAACCCCTGCATCCTTGAAGATTTAAATGTGACTAAGCCTCAGTCACAATAGGTGAATGTACTGAAGAGCTGCAGCTGGCAAACAGCTGGCAAACACTACCTTTGGAAGCTGACTGAATGGCTGTTTACCAAAGATAAAATTTACCAGTTCCCTAATAAGATATTCACCTTTTGGTGGTACTGGTAGTTTCTTTTGATCCATCAAATTCCTTTATAAATTATACATTTTTTCCATACAACACTCAAAAAGCTAATGCAATCGGATAGATTTCACCACACATCAATATTGGTCGGATTTTGGCATTTATGCATTTTCAAACCTTTAAAAAAATATCTGTTTCAATAACAGTTGTATAATTTTTCTGTTTAAACTTTTGTAAAGATAGTAAGATTTTAAAACTCTTTTTGCATCCTTTCTTATGTAATTTTTCTGAATGGGCAATGGACTGGTCTCTGATAAAGGCTGATATTCACCCAATCTAGCCTGATTTTGAGAAAACTTAAGATAGATTGGATGAATCCCAACATTTATCACAATTTGAGAAAATTTAAGTATCTGTCCTGAGACAGTTTGAGTCGTCTTTATAGTCACTGGAAAGAAAAAATCATATCCAAAGGGATACTCATCATGTCTTATTATCATAACCAAACATGACAAACAGAAGTTAAAATGTAATCCCAATACCTGTTCCTAAATGTACTCTCTGTTCTTGTGCAGGAGGTACTTGTTAATGCTTGCTCCTTCTTCACAGCGAGAGAAAGGTGTCCCACGGTACTCTTAGGTCATGCTGCACCTTCAGATGTACTTGATGCTGGCAACTTGAAGTGGTTAAAAAATCCTGATTCAGTTCCATAATCAAGGCTTACTCTAGAAAAATGCTTTTTAGAAACAATTTATTTTGTATATGTTGATTTGCTTTTCCATATATTTACATCTTAGAGTTCAATTTTCAGAAAAATTCCTACCAAAAAAAATATTTTTAATCTCTTAAAAATTTTCCTAGAAAAAACAGATCCCCAAATTAAAAAAAAAAAAAAAAAAAGTTTAAAAAAAACAATAAAGGGAACTGAAATTTTCAAACTTACATTATCACAGAAACCTGAGCAGAAAAAAAATATTACATGCCATAAAATCATGACTATTAACAGCAGTACCATTGATTTACACGGCAAGAAGAAATGACTGAATGCATAAAGGAAACAAACTATCCCTTATGTAAATCTCTGTGATGGGTTCTGCCATTCTTAGATACTTCTGAAGTCTTTCTAAACAGGGGAGACACTTTGCATTCTCCCCTACTTTACATTCTCTTTTTGTTGTTGCTGCTCATCACTTTTCTCAGCTTCTCTTCATATTTTCCCCAGCTCTCAATTATCTCATTTTTTAAAGTCTTTTCTTTCATAGTCTCTGCACTACTGACCTTTTATTTGTTTCCTGTGCCCTGTCAATCTCACTTAAGCCTGACTTTTCTTCAGCAATGAGCTATACCCCAGCAGAGGCAGCAGTCAAGAAGATTTATGCCTGTGGGTTTCTCAGTCTCTTTCACCTCACCATTCTAGTCATATTCTTACTTCTCTCCTTTCCCCAGACCATTTTAGTGTCTTCCCATTCTGCCACCAAATTGTTTTAATCTGCCTTCATCTATGCTTTCCATTCAATGTTCACTTCTGGTGATAC